GTAGTAAACTCTTTAACTCAAAGCGATATTTAGGGGTCCACCCAGGGTGTACAGATTCCAACGGAGATTAATCATATATAATCCAAAGAAAATATTTGCAAAAACCTCTTCCTCAGTGAACAATTGTGCATTAAATTTATTCATGTTAACATATCTATGTGTTGTTATTAAATCATAATTTTTTTATATTTATCGTAGTCACTTAAATACAAACATAATTGTGAAGGTGCTGATGACATGGTAAGTTCATATTCACTCCAATAATGTACAACATTTATGATTGTTCTTAATACCTCAATTTAATTCTATTAGTACATTGATGTGCTGAAAATTGCATAACTTAAATAGATGGTTGAATTATGTTTATCGATTGCAGCTTAAAATGTTGATGAAAAGTTCATTTGAATAATTAATTTCATCGGCGTGATTTTCGTAAATCACCTTCCACGAGTCAGTCATGTTACTATAATGTACGACTGACCTACTTTTGTATCATTACCATATTGTAGGTTAGTTTCCGTTGTTGGTGGGAGATATAGAGAAAGGATAAGCTACTGATTCTTATGTAACTCTCTGTTGTGTTGTACAGTGTTTAGCTCTGACGTTGAATAGCATGCTTCCTATTTGCGACCCTAATCGGCTAATTGAATGAGATGACTGAAAGTGAAAAGAACGTCTCTTAATAACTGCATTCATACATATTCCATAGAAATGGAAGCCATATCAATGGAAATTCCCGTTTCTTAGAAAAATACTCCATATAGTGTGAGCTCAGTATGTGACTAATGTCCAACTGGCCCACTGTATCAACTTGATTAATCATTAGCTACTTAATGAGTAAGTATCTAAATGGTTATACTGTCTTGGGTGAATTTATATCAGTTGTAATTACATTATCTTATTCATTCAGTCGGGCAACCACTGATTCTGTTCTTTGTGATCTGAAATTTGGGTACCGACTCAACGAATAAATTGTCTGTAGAACCACTTCAATTGCTTTATTGTTTGGTCAATCGACTGTACCGTCATAACCCATTGTTACTAATTAGTTTTCTTGGATAAAATTCACATATTGGCTTTTCTTACGATCCTTGTATACGTATTACCTACTTGCACCATGTCAAATATATTTTTTCAACATATTTTCATTATAATTATTAATATTCACTTACTACATTTAACTTTTAGCTTAACAATATGTATGTATGTTTTCCAATTTCAAATTCTGTTTAAGCCTGCACATGCAAAACAAGCATTACTTGGTGGACCCAGTATTACCGTACCTATTACAAATGGTCAGTTAGCCTTGGGTACTTGGCAAGGAATATGGCTTTGTGAACATCGGAACTCTGGTTGTAAGTTCTTATTCAACTTTATAATCTCGTATCTATGTTTAATTTCTGTATCTTTAACTCACTATTTGTCCATTATCTGTATTTCTCTGAAAAAGACGGTAATTTTTGTTTTCATACGCGAACCCATTCGCTGAAGCATCTTATCAAAAAGGTGCTATCAAAGACCCGAATTTATTCTCTGTAGATTGACTGGCTAGATAATTGGTAGAATACTTATTAAAGTATACTAATATAATTTGGTAACAGTTTTCTTATAAGAGTAATTAGTCATCAACCTTACTGTCTGTATAATTTTAAGCTATTCTAAGCGTGACCATGAAAAGCGTATTGTTGACCAGTCATGTTAACTCATTATCTCTGAATTCTAACAACCAATTATGGTGTTGTAATAATCATTAAGTTTGAATTGGTGGTCTAATATTTGATTGCTGAGCTATTGTACTGCTGCTGTAATTCATCAAATACAATCACATCCTGTATGTTCTAATTATCTCGATTCGATTTTCTTTTAATAACTAATGTTATTTTTTACTATGACATAGAATTAGTACCCTTATAAACTACTAACTTTTATCCATTTTTATCGTAGCTTCGCGTCAAGTAGTGGCCACAATACAAGGATGCCTACGATAGTACAATTGAAGTGAATACTTTTTTTCCGTCAATTATTTCTTGTCTCTGTTGTTCTATTGCTTAAATGGCTGCTCGATTTCTTGGTTGTGAACTGTTTTGTACACATAACATTTGAATTGTTTTTAATGTAATTCTTCGACGACTCATATATTTAGGTTTAATATCTTTAAAATTTCACATTATCAATGTAAAACTTCATTTCTAGCTACCCGATCGTTTCTCATGTTTGCTTTAATTCTCCCGTCTTTAAACTTTTTTTCTTGTCACATATTTGTTGTTTTTTATAACACAATATTGTATTAATGAGTGATTTCTTCAATTTGGTACTTTGTTCTGTTCCGGGAAGTATGTAACAACTACCTAAAGCTTGAAATAATTGAGTCTGATCACTAGTGGTGTTAGAGGTACACACTATTGAGAAGTCCCATGCTAGGACAAAACAGCTTTCTAATTCTCTTGTTTTAATGACTTCTGAGTTACAGTCAGTCCGTATAATAAATTGTCTTTATGTTTCGTTTTTCTGCACATGCATTTGTTTTTCATTGTAGGTTTCGTTTGTTTTAACATGCATCAATGAATAACTAAAGAAAATTTATTAAAACCTTAATTGATTTATTTTTTGAGTTCTAAAGAAAAACAAACCATACCCGACATTTTTTATATTGTTTAGGTTTTTGTCTACCGTATTACTTCAGTGACATAAACTCCATGTGTCCGTAGGTATTGTCTCTTTATGCTGTTTACGTGAATTCAAAATGTGGTTTTGATATTTTAACATTTCGCCTTACTATAGATACACAGTCCCGATTGTAAATGCTTTTGTAGTAAGAAGTAGCACAATATGCATATCATAAGCGGAGATGGTAGTGGTCAGCAATGGAATCCAGGGCGCGCGTTTCGTTCTATTTAGGTCTCGTTATCTGGATGTCCCGAATAGGATGAAACGCGCGTCATGGATTCCACTGCTAGCTACCATCCACCTCCACCTATAATGATTGTGACTTAAGGTAATCCGCACGTATGCTGATAAGAGACTGATCACTTTCAGTCCTAAACATCAATGGAAAGATTCAAACAAACCAATACAAGGATGAATTAATATGCAAATCAATTCTATCTGTTAAAACTGCCAATCTTCCTGAAAGCAGGGTTGATATTGAATTACTTAAAATTTTAAGATTTACAAAACATAACTTTTAGTCATTATTTCTGAAATGTAAGTGCGAAGAAAATTCAACAACCAACAGAATACATAGTATATTATCAATCATTCCTCGTACACACAAACAAGCTGAAAATGTACAATTGTCAACAATTATAGATATTTTCAGTAATGTATATAGCAGAATCACTACACCCATTCAGAAGTTATCGACAATTTCACTTTAGGGCATTTGATGGCTGTATATGCATATTACAGTATTGCAGTGACACTCAAAGTGTTCATGAGACTATGATTATTAATTGAACTTAAAACTTTTTATAATTTAAGAAACAGAAACTGTGATATAGTTTGAGCTGAAAATGAATACAAATCAACACAGTGAAAAAACAAGCACACTAAGCAAGTGCAAATTAACTCGTTCATTCAAAACAAAAAAACTTCTCTAACAAAGATACCCGTATATTTGCAGATTCATATGTATTGTTATGGGTTAACGAAATTGATACTTATGAAGGATTACTCTAAACTAATACAAAATGACATCAAACTAAATTGATGCAATCAAAATGTTAAACTGAATTTATTGAAATTATGTTACATATGATACAAACTGAAATTTTATATAAATGATGCGCTATACTAAAGAAACTGGCACACTAAATAAGTTACGAGACCCCTACTACTAGTTCATCATACAATACGATGTCAGTCAGATACTCCAAGTCAAGATAGCTTTCAGGTAGAATATCAATTCCTGGAAAGTCAGACGAACTGTTCCCTAAAAAGGATATCTATAAAAGAAAACTGATGAGATTAATGGCCCATGAAAAGTCCACTTGCTATATTATTGCTCTAGATCTAAAGTTTATACTGACCATCTAACAGCTGTAATGTGGGTAGGATTCCAAAGATTTAGAATAGGTACCCTATGAACACACTCATAAGTGTTCCATGTAACGTTCAGTGTATGTAATAATTTAGGATTGATCTTAAATAAGCTCAGTGAGCTTCACAGAGTAATATGGTGAGTCGTTTCGTCACATTTTTATTCGATTGCAGTTCATATAGGTTAAATATTGATACAAATATTTTATTGATCTCCATATAAAGATGACTGAATTGTTTAAAGATTCCAATCAGATACTTGAACAACAATAAAAATCGTTTTTTCTTTACTCCAAATACTTAAAAATGAAAAAGCAATCAATTTGAAATTTCTCATATCATACACATAAGATCAACATGATCTTATTCAATAAGGACAAAGTGAGTCGATTTATTTAGCTGTAGTTTTCCTTCTTTTCATATTTAGTAAACTGTATCATGGAAAATTGGTTTTCGTTTTTGCCTTACAGTCGATAAAGACACGGGATAATTATTTAAACCTATCAACCAAATGATCGTAACCATAGTATCTGTAAATAGCTCAAGTATATTTAATACGGGAGAAAAAAATCTTAAATCACGTTACCATTCATTATTTACATTTCAAGTGCATATAGGTGATTATAATTTGAATTCATCTAATGAAAGTACCTGCCTCTTATTTTTGGTTATATAATCTGTGATTTCAACTTCCGAATTACAACATCAATAACCGAAAGTATTAACAAGTTGTATCTATTTCAGTGGGTATTATGAAGACACTACATTATGTAGGTTAACTTATAGATGATACTATTTAACTAAATTAAATTTATTATCAAAGATCGATATATTGATTTCATATATCTGGAGACAATCACATTTATTTAACAATAGGAAATGTTAATCTATATACCTAACTTGCATTACCATTAGAATAAAATATTTCTATGTTATATAGTGATCTTATTATCAAGTTAGAAATGCCATTTTACAATGATGAAGATTTAATTATTATTGATCCTAGTTATGAAAATTTAACAGATTTTCGCAAAGATTACGATTATGATCTAATTGGTAATGCTATTAGCTTACGTGCATCATTTCTTCGGAATCCAGCTGGTTATTTACACAACATTATTGAACAACATATGATAGAGTTATTATTTACAAGTCTAATCTGTTTCAGTATATTTCTTGGTGTGGTTGTTTTATTATTTGTACTAAAAAGGTTTATTCGTTATGTGAAATTGATCAAGTTACTTGTGAAGGAATTCAATAGTGTAAGATTACAACTAAAAGAGATTAAGAAAGAAAATTTGCCAATGAATTATGACATCTATGCAAAAGCAGTATTTACTGTATTAATAAGTTATTATCAGCTGTTCAAAGGAAGTAAGAAAAGAATTATACCTGAAGATTTGGTTGAATATGAAATAATACGTTTTGTATTAGAGGCTGCATGGAAGAATACTATAAGTTGTAGACAGCTATACAATATAGAATTGAATAGATCAACTGAAGATGAATCAATTGAAGGACTAGTAGATGATTCAGAAAATGTAATAGACAATCTAAATGATGTGGTTGATCATAATCAAAATATTAATAATTCAAGAACAGGTAAAAAATCTGATGTTAATCATATAAGAGACGATAATGTGAATTTTATGGTGAATAAAATGTATTACAAAAGAACAAATAAGCAAAATCTATCAAACAAATCAATTGTAAAACCATGGTATAAAAACAAAAATCAAATATTTATGAAAAACATCATTAGTTCCAATGATAGACATAGCATGATAAAATTAGAAAGTTTAAACAATCTTGATGAATACAAAAGTAATGTTCAATATTTGAAGGAGGAATTCAATAATAATGAACTCCAGGAAATAACTCCAACTAATTTCGATCATGCTAATCAAATATCCTTGGATTATAATGACACAGGCGAATAAAATAAGATAAAGAGATTTTGAGGTGAATTTTTTGAATGTGAATTCTTTCAATTATGTTCCAAGTACTGACACTTTAATTATTACACTATGCATTGTTCTCTTGTTTATAATTTACAGATATTCTATTTGTTTTTAAAAATTCTAAATAAACTGATTACTGAAGTTGCGTTTTCCAAAATTGTCCTTTTTACTATCATATGAACAAGAAATTCCTGGGTATATATGCAAATAGATTAAGTATACAGATGAAAACTGTGAATTAATCACGGCAATTAATCAAGTCCATTTGTTTTTTGACTCCATCTCTAAACGGTATCTGAAAATTGAAAAAGGAACTAATTGTTCCGATACTTCATTTAATATCTGATACTTCTGAGCCATATCTTATAAAATAGAAACAATAACGGGGCGGATTTGCATGCATAAAGCATACAATTCTCTTTGAACCTAGCACACAACAACAGCATCATGCACTGTCCCATAGCCCTTGGCAGATCAGGCAACCCGAAAGTTACGAGAACACCATCAGGACATACGACAGGCCAGGTACCCCGATATGGCTCAGAATAGAAGCCAGTGGCGATCCTACTGTAACCTCTTTTTACTTCATAAAAAGTTTGTATCTTCCTTAACTAAAAGAATTCTTCTGGTTGTACCTTTCCATTTCCTCCATTATTATTATTATTACACTACCTTATACTAATCTGTGTTCGTTATTGTTCTTTTTTTCTTATACGCACCTTACCTTCTTTTTTCTCTTCCCATTCTCATTGCTTTGTGTGGCGCATATATATTTGGTGCCCCCTTGTACCAATATTTATGTGTTCAAATAAATAAATAAACTTCATTTAATATTATCCAAAAGTGCTAACCTTATGGTATATTTGCAATTATCAGCTTTAAAGATGAGAAAGAAAATATACTGTAATGCACTGAAATAAATCCATGCAGTGAGTGGCTCCATAAATGTAATGATTTAAATGAAGTTTAACTATTTCAGTTTTAAAATTTGTAAAGTGTGAAAAACCGAGGTTCAGTTCAAAAAATGTTACAGAATGGACATATAACCTTAGTTTTTAAGTCCAATGTTGTAATACAAAGCTTGATATCGATTCCAATAAACGTCATGTGTATTGCTATTGCATCATAAATTTAAAAGTTTTTCAACAGTGTAAGTGCTTGCTATTTATTCCCCCATTCCACATATAACAGTAATTATTTACAAAGAGATATTGCTAAACTGTTTGCTAAAATCAGGATCAAATCACTTAATATCTGAATATACTACAACCAACGAAGAATTGGGTAGGGTAGAACATTTTATCCCGTGTTCTGACACTAAGGTGTAAAATATGACAATAGACAGGAGGAAAGTAAGCTTATTGTAAGGTTACTAAGAATTTACAAAATGTGTATACATAGCCTTCAATTTCCATTTGCATTTTTAGGTGTTCTGCAGTCTGAACCGTCTTCTCGTCTAGCCTCCACATGCTATCACAAACCCATGCTTTATATGAAATGAAACTCTTCATTTCGTCTGAAGGCTGTTGCGACTTCGATGCCACATTCCGCTACATGCTACTTACAAACAATCTTGTGAGTAGTGTCCACTACAATAGGACAAAATAAAAGTTCACTAAGGGATAAAACCTATGCTCATCAGGTTAAGTATTTTAATTATAACTGCTTCTAAATTCATCCAACCTATAATACAAAGTAATACATGCTAACGAATGAAAGAATAAACTACCTGATATGGTAAAATAGAACCCCGTTATAAAGACCCTAGCAAGAGTAAAGGGAGGAAGTTTCCTCTTTGAGAGGAAAAAGACCTTCATGTAGAAACGTTATGACACTTCATCAAGAAATTTAAGAATCACCAGAAGTTACAAGGCCGACGTCCATTCTGACAACCATGAGCACAAATAAAATAGAGATATGGAATGTCCTTATATAGGAGACCGGTATTATTATCTTACTGGTTCAATGAAAATTTACAACCTGGCTCTATTTGAAATAACTAAAACAAGCCAAACAGAAAAGGATAGGTGTAGTAAAAATGTTGTTTTATTCTGATCATGAAGAAAATGAACATACACAAGGATTGTTCGCCAAACCAGTGCGAAAAGTGCTTATGGAATGGGAAACTCACAACTCCACGATCATCAACGCATATTACAAAATGAAGAAAAAGATTACCATGAACGGCACAGCCCTTTGCACTTATCAACAACAGTAGTTAAGATGACCAAAACTAGCTTTGTGAGAATGTCAAGAGAATAGAAACGGGGATATCACATTGACAAATTGTTATAACTTGTGACCTGTATACCCTGTAAATCTATAACTTAATGAGACCTCCAATTAGAGAACAGTGAATTATCGACCGGACCAATGACTCAAAAGAGTCCTCATTGGTCCTGCTTCCCACCTAGCCCAGCCAGTTAAGTCCAGAACATCAATCTCAGCCTCTGCAATATGAATCATTTACTTCAAACATACTAGGGTTATATACCAACCGGATGGACCACATCATACCATAAAATAGGAAACAACATTTGTACAAGATTTAACCAAATGTGGCTGCGAGTGTGGGAGGTAGTAATTAAAAGACAGGGCATAATTAGAGAATGGTAAATCATAGAATAATAGTTCATAGGTCAAAATAAAGCTCATAATAAGAGGGACATGAAAATGAATAGTTTAGTTATTTAACAATTATACGATAAAAATATACGCATAGTATTGGTCCATAGTCAGTCAGTCAGCTACAACGTAGGACCAGGCACATATATGCATCGGTCCAGGTTGCCATACCGCATTAGCACAGCAAGATGAACACCGGATTCATAGGAGTGTTTAGGTCAAAGGTGGTAATATATAGGAGAAAGATTGAATATAAGGATACAGTAAAGGAAGAATGGTCTAGTACATAGAAAGAAAGACATGAAGTGATTTTAATCTCTTAGTTTAAGGGAAGACAGAGAGTGTATACACCGACGCCATTGTGATCGATTCTGAGCCACGTCACCAAGAGTCTTCAACCATTGGTTACGATAGTCACGCGTACCCCAACCAAGTAGTCTGCATCTACCAACATGGCTCAGATTAGAAGTTAGTGACTTCAAGCACTGATGCCACGTTTTGGTTTGGCCGCCCCTACATTTCTTCCAACCATCCTGAACACCGGTTAGCATTGCACGTCGTGGTAATCGGTGTTCGGGCATACGTAACACGTGGCCCAACCATCTCAGTCGATGAAGATTCATAACCTCATCGACTGATTTACCATCATTCCCTAATACCCTGCGTCTAACCTCACTATTACGTACCCAGTGATCCCAGCAGATGCCAGCAATATTTCTGAGGCATCTGTGGTCAAATACTAGTAGCTTACGAGTGTCTTCTACTCTTAATGGCCATGTTTCGCTGCCGCAAATTAAAACAGAACGGACTGCCGCGCAGTATACTCGTCCTTTTATTGATAGACGGATATCTCGCCTTCTCCATAGGTGACGTAAGTTGGCAAAAGCCAAGCGAGCTTCTCGAATCCGTGCTGAGATTTCGTCCGATACCAGCCCATTAGGGCTGATCAGACTTCCAAGTAAATGAAGTTGTCGACGCGTTTGACTACTTCACTCCCTATCCTTAGTTCAGGCGTTGACACAGACCAGTCCTGAAGCAGCAGCTTGCATTTAGAGGGAGAGAAGCGCATTCCAAACATTCTGTTATTGTTGCTCAGCGCTACCAAAAGACTGCATTCTATCAGCGTCTTTACCAAACAGGACTATGTCATCCGCGTATTCTAAGTCGATAAGTGGACCTCCTGGTAGGAGATAAATACCCGAGAATTCAGTAGACGAGAATGTTATTTCCATCAATAGGTCTATGATGAAGTTAAACAGAAATGGAGAAGGTGGACAGCCTAGAAAGACACCACTTGAGGTTGCAAAAGTAGATGACAGATCGCCATAAGCTCTGACTCAACTGGTAGTGTTCGAGTAAAGAGCCTTCACAAGGTTTATGTACTTCTGTGGTACGCCTTTCAATGACAGACACTGCCACAGAATCTCGCAGTCTACCGAGTCAAATGCTGCTTTTAAGTCAAGAAAGACCACCATTGTCGGACGTCGATAAGTATGCCTGTGTTCTAGAACCTGATGAATGGTGAATACGTGGTCGGTGCAGCCACGACCAGGTCTGAAGCCAGCTTGATTCTCTCGTGTTTGCAGTTCATGAGTCTTAGTTAGGCGTCTGATAATTATCGAGGCTAGTATTTTAGATACTATATTAGTTAAACTAATCCCTCTATGGTTGTCACAGGATGATTTTAACCCTTTCTTATATATTGGGACGATAAGTGATTGTGACCAGTCAGATGGAATAACGTCTAACTCCCAGATCCTAGCTAAAATATTAGTCAAGCTAATCGCTAAAATTGGACCACCATCCTTGAAGACCTCTGGAGCCAATCCATCTGGACCAGCTGCCCTTCCTCGTTTCAGATTAACTATAGCCTTTTGAACTTCAGCAAGAGTTGGGGGATCTACTTCAATGTTCCATTCACACTGTCTGGGAATGGAGGGTAGTTGTAGAGTAGCTGAAGGCCAGCTGAACTGTTCCCTAAAATGTTCCGCTCATCGTTCTAAACGTCTGGACTGAGAGCAGATGAGGGTGTTGTCTTTTTCCGAAATAGCCTGACTTACACTTGACTTATTAATTCCAGTTTGTTTTATTAGTCTGTAGAGCTGTCTTGTTTTCCCTATAGCCGCCGCCTTTTCCATCTCTTTTGCTTTCGTTGCCCACCACTGCTCACGGTCGTTCCTGAGACTTTTTCTTAACCTAGATCTGATTTGTTGTCGCTCTTCATCATGCTCGGAACCTGATGGGACGAGTTTGCGGGAATCCATCAGTGCAATAGACCTAGAGGAAATCCATTGGTTCTTTGTAACCCTGTGGTTTAAATCATTAATAGATGTCACTGCTGTTTCCACAGCTGT